ATATATGAGTACGGGAGCGGTAAATATGGATAAACCTCTTAGACCGGAGAATTAACATGTACTGTTGCTAGATAGACAAATGATGACATATTTACATTTGGGAACCTTTGAACGACTATAGCGCCCAGTCACATACCTTCTCCACCGCCCAGTCATATACATTCTCCACCGCCCAGTCCAAATACATTCTCAACCGCCCAGTCCAAATACATTCTCTAGCGCCCAGTCGCATACATTCTCTACAGCCCATTCACATACATACATTCTCTAGCGCTTTCAACGACTATAAACTTCGAAATAAACATGCTCACCTACGCCGATGTAAACGGCGTATCTTAACATCTCAATAGCGTGTTGTGACCTTTGGACAGGGCTGTACTTTCAGAAGCAAGTTTCTGTAATAGATGAGACTAGACGCTAAATAAAACAAATAAATAAAATAGCTAAGAAATTCATCGTTTTCATACTTTAAATGGGACTCTTCCATTCGATGACCATTGTGGTTGGTTTTCCATAAAACTGCACGTSCAGCAACGCCGTTTTTCGGGGAAACTGGGCAAGGTATATAGTCCGCTCACTTGCTGAAATAATCATCAAAATAAGTCATTTGTATTTGCTCTACAGAAGYTCCATAAAAACTGATTTGGGGGATTATTATTAAGCGCCGTTTACACGAGCAATTTTTCCTTGACATATTTTCCTTGACAAGGAAATATTGCTCGTGTAAATGGGGTAAAATGGGCCAACATGTTCGAAATTTACTCGTGTAAATGGACAACAAGGAAAATGTGGCAAGGAAAAACTTTCAAGGAAAACATGTGTCATTTTCCAAAAGTGAATTTATTGAAAACATTGCTTCTATTTACTAGGTAGATTTGAATACGGCAGATTTCCTTAAAAAGATTTCCTGTAAATGGGGTAAAATGGGCCAACATGTTCGAAATTTACTCGTGTAAATGGACAACAAGGAAAATGTGGCAAGGAAAAACTTTCAAGGAAAACGTGTCATTTTCCAAAAGTGAATTTATTGAAAACATTGCTTCTATTTACTAGGTAGATTTGAATACGGCAGATTTCCTTAAACAAACAACTTAGAGTGCTTTGAGACCATTATTTCGCTTGATTGAGCGACATTCATGAATAATCGTGTGTATGCAAATATTATTAAATGAAGCTTTTGTGGGTAAATGAGAGCTTTTATCAGGAACCTGTTTATGTACATTCATATATGGAAGTCGTTCGAAGCTTCTGGATTTTACAGATACACAGGAAGCCCACGTACAAGCTAAGCTACTTTGCAAGAGATATATTTTCAGAAATAATGCCGTTTATTATTATAACCCTTCAGGCGATTAGTTGTTTTGTGCCAGCGTATTATGGAATTACGAATTTATGCGGGGACTGAAATCCCAGACATTTCAATGGCTTGTCAACACTCAAAAAATGTTTTATACCATGCTGAAGTTTGCCTCAAATTGTGAAGAGTATATGAAAGAGCCCATTATCATGATAAGCAACGAAATTAACGACAACATTTCAAGATCTTCAGTGATGTTTGATAAACAAGAGCATGAACCAGGCGACCAGTCTTATCAAGAAACTTGTTTCAAGCGAATTGATGGCCCTTGGTCGTGGATCATGAGTGTTCTACTGATGACTTCGTCTCTTTTCATCTTTGGTTGTGCTTCAACTTATGGAATACTGTTTCCTAACATACTAAAAGACTTCAAATCAACTCGAGCTCTTACAGGTAGGTATAACTAAAAACTAGAAAGAATAATTTTGAAAACCTTGTTTATATTTGCATTTCGCGTAACCTCATAAGATAATATTGAAATAGTAAGGGTCAGTAAGACCCGTTCCGTATGTGATTATAGGCACAAAAACAAGTAGGTTTTGCAGACACGTAGCTTGTAAATCTATGGTTTGAGTCATTTGTGCTATATTTCGAGCTATTTCTAATAAATGAGCATGAAAGGATTAGATAAATTCGACATCACATTCGTACTCGATGCTTCACTTCTGCTATTGTATTTGCATATTTTTGTTTGAAACACAAATGACTCGAGCTGGTAAACACTAATAATAATAATATTAATAAGATAAAA